TTTGTCGACCATAGCAAAGTATTTACCTCTCATTAATCACTCCAGAAAAGGGCTTTGACGAATTAGAAAATCTAGTTAAAATGGTAATCAAGCAAGATATGCCCTTTTTTATTCTTTCTTTTCATTCCTCCCTTCCTCCCTTCCTCTTCTCAACATTTCTACCTACTAACGATCTATGGTAATATAGGTTAATCGAAACATTGAAGTTCATGATGCTTCTGATGTGATAGATTCTTCACATGTCGTGAAGTTGGCAAATTTTAAAGTACCTTTTTCACAGCCTACTGAAGGTAGGTCGATAATTAAGGATTCATTACTCACCACATTGCTTTTTTCACTTGACACGTGACTAACATGAATGATGATGACATAGTGATGCCGGAAAAAAAAAGGAAACGCGAGGACTCCACGCCCATAAGTGAGTCGCACACTAGTGAACAGCCGACGTCCACGAGCTCGACAAGTTCTTCGCCGGAAAGCAAGAAGGTCAAACTCGAAAATGCTGATGAGCAATCAAGAGAGCAAGTTCAAAATGTTTCGGCTCAGCAATCCAGTCGACCGTCGGAGGTTTCTTCGGACACGAAAAAACAGGTTTCTTCACCAGTCTTACCCGTTCAGCAACCTCCCAGTAATCCATCCGGTAATAAATCACAAGTAAGTAGTCCCAAGGTTCCAAGGTCCTCGCCCGTCGTGTCGAACGTACCTGCCGCATCGGTGATATCAACTGTTCCCGTCAACCAAATACAACAATCGCCTATGAAGGTCTCACAACAGATACCCCAACAACAACCCGTTAACGCTCAACTTGCTAACTCTCTGTCATCTGCAATGGGTGGTGGGCGACCTATGTCGCAAAATATGTTGCATTTTATGAATGCTCAACAGCTCATCCAAAAAAATAAAATTTTACAGCATGAATTACTGGCGAGTCAGCAAAATCTTGTGGATGTTCTGAGACGCCAACAATTTGTGAACTCTGGAGGGATGGGTCCAAGTTTCACGACTTCCACTTCGCCGATTGGCTCTGATGCACAGTCTCTTAATAGTTATACTACCTCACCATCTTTGGGTTCCGTTATGAACGCACAAAATATTGGTAGCTTTAATACGCCTGGTTCATCTGCTCAACCAGTTCTTGGATTCCAGCCTACAGCGTTAAGTGCACGAATTCCAACGACAGCAATAGGCGCACCGGTAACTTCAGCGTCGGTTGGGATGTCTTCTTTATCAGCATCTCCTAACGGTATCATAACCAGCAATTCGGCGGTCAATAGTTCAATAGGTATAAATAATGGGACAAGTTCGGCCGCCTCAGCGGCTGGTGTCAACGCAAACCAGATGCGACCGAACATACCTAAAACGACACTTAACGCCTTGTGGAGTGGTTATATTGCATGGGCAACAGGTAATCAACAGAATGGACTCAAACGTGAACTCACCTGCCATGTGACCGCTTTCCCCATTCTACATAAGAGGACTGGTCCTTCTTCGCTTAATGATTAGTAAGGATTCACTTCATGCATATACTGTATATAGATGTCGATGTATATATGTAAATATATTATTAATTGTTTGATTTCTGACTTACGATCTTGTTAAACTTAGTATGACGCATGTTTGGCCAGAAAAAATGGAAATATCTAGCATAAACCACGCTAAAGATTTCATAAAAGATGCCGGGAATAATCCGAAACTGCATGTTGTTTCGTTTTTACCGACCCCACCGCCCGCAACCTCAGCGGATAATCAAAATACGTTTACAGTTTTGATGCGTATTTTAGAGAATAAAAAATTGGTACGGAACTTGTTACCAACAACTAACCAACTTTGAGCGTGATGTTTGGAATCAAATAGTGTACAACGTTTATCGGTTATCATATTTATTTCTATTTTCTATTGAATTTAGGCCGCCTTTGTGCGCTTCCCTAATGCACCTAATTCTAACGGCGGCATAGTTTTATTTACGAATGGGCCTAAACTTGTTGGTCTACTTTTCCTGGATTCACCACTGCCGACAAGTTTAAATGTTACATCCCAACAACAAGCGCAGTCACAGTCACAAGCACAGGCACAAGCACAAGCACAGGCACAGGCACAGGCACAACAAACCCATGCTCAGTTAGCTCTGCAACAGCAGCTTTTACATCAACAATTGTTATTACGCCAACAGCATGTTCAACAGCAACAGCAACAGCAACAGCAGCAACAACAACATCAACAACAACAACAACCGATGCAGGCCCGGCAACAACTGTTGCCGACCCTACTACAACAACAGCAAGCGCTTCAAGCGCTTCAACAACAATTACAGCAGCAACCGGGTCTGCAACAGATACTTCAACAGCGAAGAATGAATCCACAAATGCAGGTTGCAAGATTACCTACACAACAAACTCCGCAGACGCTGGCCCAACAACAATTGATGCTTCAACAGATGCAATTGTCATCACTCTTCCAGACCGCATCGAGTTCCAATCCAAGTTTGTATTTTTGAACCAAATTTCATAAATTTCCATTCGCGAATCCATTTCACGTGACATACCTTTTTTTCCCCATTAGGAATGGACGGCCAAGACCTCGTGCATTATGTTAAACAACAGCGACAGCAGACCCAGCAGCAGCAACAACAACCTACTCAGTAATGATCACATCGTAGTGCATTTCGTTTTAAAATCTTATCCCCATAGAGACACTGCAAATACCTGGGATGATTTGCCCGTAATAAAAATTTCCTATCTCAACCATAGGTTATTTTTATTTCATATATATATTATGCAATATCTATAATAACGTTAATTAACATTATGTATTACTAGCTGTGTAGTATCTGTGTATTATCATTACGAAACCATATTTATACATTTACACATTACATTGTGGTTTTATACACTTTTACACTATATAATATAAAGTAGTATATCACAGAATGTGCCGGAAAAAAAAAAAGAGAATTTTGAACATTCGACTCGCTTATAACCTTTTTTTAAAAAAAAAATAAGTTTTTTTTTTTTTTTTTTTTTTTTTTTTTTTTTCTCGATTTCTTCTTTCTTACAATAATAAAATACAAAAGGTTTTTTGGAATTCCGAGGGATTTTTTTTGCAACATAAGAAGTTTCTGTCGTCTGTTCAAATATTTCACAAATGATTAATGTCTATTCGCCGCAGTAGAAACATTTTTAAAATAAAATATAAAAGTATTGTAAATGAAAATCGAATTGCAAGGTTCACCATTTTTGCAGTCGATATGAAAATGCCGGATGCAGGTATCAAAATAAGCATCACAGAACTTTCGGGACATTCAAGGGATCCGATTTTACACCACTCGCCATCCTATATACCCCCAAACATTAATTTTTTTACAAGTGCATGCAGAATGATATCTTTTAAACACACATAACATATATTTTTTTAATCACACAGTATTAATTAATGTACAATATTTTAAGTTGATAAGCAAACAGAAAATAATCAAATTCCAGAATTTGTTAACCAGACCACGAATTATTCTTAATAAAACTTGATTAAAACTAATTTCTTTTTATGTTTTTTTTTTTTTTTGGTTGGTTTTCTTCAACTTTGAGTTTTATTATTCGAGTGATCTGATACAAGAGTCAATAATATGTATTAAACGTGGAAAATTAATGTATAGTATAATTTAATTAAGGTGGTATATAAAAAAAATCAATATAAAAAATTAGGTTAAGCATTAATGTTTATATGAATTATTTGTGTATTAAAAAATTTAAAAATTTTATTAAAAAAAAAATTTACAAAGAATAATGCGTTGACTGTGTTGGTTTATTTAGATCAAACACAGGATTTCAATATAGATATAAAAGAAAAGAAGCATAGAGCTTGAAATTATTTAATCTCTGAAAATTTGTAATTCGTGACAGAGAGTTGAAGAGCAACTAATTTTAAATGTTTATTGAATGGAAAAAGAAATTATCAACATACCGACAAGAACGACCCGTTATCTTGATTCGACTGTTTTTTCCTGCATCAAAAATATTATTAAGACTTTTGAACAATATCAAACCTTGATTAACTTTGGATGAAATTGATAATCCGGACTTCAGAACAATACATTCATCAATATCTACTTTATCATACATATTAATAAATTAAAATGAAAGATGATCTGGTTACTTTATGCAATCGGATGGTAAATTTGCAAACAACTCTTACAAAAACATTTTAAAAAAGGACACTAATCAAAGGCTTGATTGGAATTATGGCAAGAACCCACTTCGGAAAAAATAAAGCTTTAGTTATATCTAGAACTATTATTTAAATATCCTCTATTTTTTAGACTTTTGTCTGATGAATGAGACTGGAAACCAAATATATTAATAAGAGAACCTCGTTTTAGTAATTATGATGATAATGTTAATCTGATTTAAATGTTTTTTTGTTTGTTTTTTGCGTTGAAAAAGTCTATTATTAACAGGAATAATTAATTAATTACATATGTATATATATGATCGAAAGAATTTGGAATAATATAACAGCGTTATTATTTTATGATGCCAATGATCAGGCAGAGAAATGTGCATGCAACGAGAATTGAATGAAATCCGTCCTAATTGGATGAATCGGTTTTGGTTAGTCTTTTGAAATTTTGTTATCCGCAAAAGAACAGAACTCGTTGAGAAAAGTGCTTCTTACCAAACGTTTCCATTACAAAGGCCACATACACATTTCACGTGAGCCCTATCGGTCAATTTAATACGAGTGTTGTGAAGACTCTTGGCGACCCAGCGCCAAGAAGCTTTAAAGTGCGAATTACGAATTTCAAAAAAAAACTTTTTATTTTTTGTCCCTTCCATTATATTTTCCTTCACAACTTTGAAGTGGACATAATTCTCCTACTCCCATAGCTATTATACGAAAAGTAAAATTTAAAATGCATACGTCCATCAATCTGAAAAGCAAAAGAGAATAACTTTACCTCAAGTCTGCCTATTTCACTAGTTGACCTTGGTATCATTGCGATAGCAATTTCCAGATCCTCTTGGTCGGTCATGCTGATAAGCGAACCATCATCATCCTTGTATTTAAGTTTCAGAGGTTTATCCGATGCAAATTTTTCTTGTATACGTTTCATGAGTTCTGCGAACATTATGTCGGCTGGTACCATAATTATACGAGTATCGGCATTTCCGTAAACCTTAATTTTTACCTGAAAAATGGAGTTCATGGGTTTATAATTGGGATTGCAGTGGTGATGGGGGGTTTTTTTTTCTAATATGAATTCGGCAATTGACAAACCTTGGTTATTTCTTTGAGAGGCTCCGTTGAAGCCGGAGAGGTTTTTTGTGGAGGCGGAAGCATTTCAAATTGTGTGTCATCCTCATCTCCATAGCCGTAAGCATCATCGTCGTTGAAGACAATGTTTGCGTAATTCGGAGTTGAGATGCCTTGCATACCCGGAGATTTGAAGCTCGTTTCAGTGCCACGACCGCGTTTGCTTGGGGAGAGGCCAGGTGAGGTTACGCGCTGATCAATTGGGGTTCTATTATTATTATTATT